TTTTCCTAAGATTTATTGGTGTTCAGATTTCCTTCTATCCAATAATTCCAAGTGATTTGGAATTTAAAACACACTTCACTTTCCAACACAAGTTGAATTTGATGAACATAACTTACTATGTACACAGATTTTTGTTGAAATATTAAAAATTAGCTAACAATGGTAATACTGAAGATGTAGAAGGCAGTTGTTTTCTTTAAGTTATCCCTATTAATGAAGTACATTTGAAAATAAGGCAGAGCTTTTAAAATACTTATTAATACATATAAGATATAATAAAAAAATAAAACCCATACCATCTCCAATAACACAAAAAAAGTACTACTTGTTGGAGTCTTAGACGCTTCTCATTAATAACTGTGTTCCAAGCAATGCAATTTTCCAGTAACATCTCATCTAATCTTTCACTTTCCGAGACAGTTTACCAGTCTCCAGTTTCAATAAAAGTATGCTTCAAGTGGCCCAGTTCAAAATGATGTAAGCTATTTAAAACACTTAGCTCCAATCTCTTACATCATGCTTACCTATGTTTCTTCTGATACCAGGGGTCCAGAATATTCCCATAAAAGCCTTAGCATATAAACAACTTAGGAAAGAAAGAGAAATCTTAATCCTTCACTGGAAGCTCAAGCATTTCTGTACTGTCTCAAAAAAGAAACACTGAATTTTTCTGTTGAATAGTAAGTGAAAAACCCTGGGCATTTTTCCAAAGGTTAGAATTTTCTGTGTTCTGATGTCAAAATAGCATAATGTAGGGCAACTTAATGACTATAAATCATCAGTCAGCATCAAAAAAGAGACATTTGTATGACAAGCTTTATTTTTGTATAATTAGAAATCTAGATTTCAAAACTAGCACAGGCAATAAAGAATGCTTTAAATAGTTGGAAAAGGTAAATGTTTAAATGTTTATGGTTACTTTACTATTACTTCAAACAAAAATCTTCGCAAATGCTAAGATCACTCCACAAACCACTGCCAAGACAACCTGTGTATAAAGTGATCTGACCTCCTTAATATAGTCTGGTTAATATTTAGTATAAAAATATGTTAAAAGTGTGACTCTGTGTAAGCACTGCTCCACAATAATGAAAACATCCCTGTATTATCAACACTGTTTCCAGCACAAATCCAAAACATAGCTCCATACCAGCTACTATGAAGAAAATGAACTCTATTCCCGTCAAAACCAGCACAACAACAAATTTCTACTATTTATACTATGTCTCTCCAGGAATTACAACATTACTATTAGCATTAGGTATAAGGCTGTGTTTTCAAGGAAGAAAATCAACCAACACACAACTGTAACTAGGAATGAAGGGTAAGGAAAATAATGCATGGGTAATTTGTTGCAGTTTTCTTGTAATTTTTATCAAGATGGATGGACAAGGAGATTCACAGTTTCATCATCTACTTCTTGCATAATGGGAGAAATACTTCAACAAGATTTTAGATAAAGATCCCAGCTTACATATTCTGGTCCAAGGCCATTAATAGAAAAAGAATGAAGATATAGAAGAAAAAAAAAGCCTACAGGAAGCCCTGGGAAAAACAGCCAAGAATAGAGGAAGCAAGTTTAAAAAATGGGATGAAGAATGAAAAAGTTGTTACAGATACCACAAAATGAATTACCAGAATAGGTCAATGTCATATTTTTTTCTTCCACAACTATGTCTACTAAAAACCAAACAGATTAAGCACATTTCTGGAAGACAGACAACACCCATGTAGAACCTAATTAGATCTCCTAATCAATGCATAATCCTGCTTTGGAAAGGCATGTGCCTACTGAGCTTCACGCAACAGAGCTTCTTTGTTTCTCTTTGAGAAGAAACTATTTTTAAAGTTTCCCAAGGCCTTTTTCAGAAATTAGAATCTACCATTTCTCAAGTTATGCATTTGTAACACCTCAAATGAATAGAGATGAGGGTGATACACATCTCCAATAAATATTTTTGAGAAGGAAAAGGGAAAGGGATAAGATATTCAACAGTAATTGTATCCAGGCGCGATTAACTGATTTCCCTGGGTTCTAGAAGACCAGACGTCCAGAAGAAGATTCAGAGTAACAGCTGGATTGAAGTGCTTAGAAATAACTTTTGGAGGAGTTTCTTTCTCCCATTGGTCTAAGGAAAGCCTAGGGAGAACAAGAATCAGTATGAACGGCTACCTAAGTTAGAAGCTAACAGAACTAGATATATTTACAGAATTGTATCTGATTATGACTAAATGTCCAAATTTGTAAAACAATCAACTGAAATATGCGAGGGTACAGATCATCACAAATTTGTATTTACCCATTATTTGTCAGCTTTTTGAAAATGAAAAGTTGAAAACAAAATTATAATCATAATATAAAAGAGCGTATTTTATATGCTCTTTCAAAATTATTCTAATGAACAATATTCTGATGAATAATATTAGTTTTCTCCTTAGTACTACTAAGATCATTACAGGAGAGTTGAGGGATAATAGAGATTAAATGTTTAATTCAATTAAGTTGCAAATCACTTAGATATCTTTTAGCAAATATAGTCTCAAAAAATCATTTTCATCAACAGACATTATTTTGGTGGTAATGAACCACTGGTCTACAGAGTTTCCACCACAGTACACAATGATGGAGAGAGCTCCTTCACACTTGCAGCTGGCCTGAAATAATTTTGTTAATAGTCAATACTAGTGTAAGCTCAAAAATTTAACACTGCAGTAACACATGAGGTACGGCATATAAACACTTCCTACGTGAACTGGTGTAAGAGATTCTTGTCCTCATTTTTAAAACTCAGACTTGCATTACAGTAAAAACCTTCAGCGGAATAAGACCGTTAAAATGCATACCAGAATTTACTTAACGATTGCTCAACATAACTAACTCTTTATTCAACTTGTGAACAAGCTACTGAGATTACCAGTACTAGACATACTGGACAGTAGAAAAAAAGAGGAAAACCTACAGGTAAAGGCTTCTCCCCCCCCCGCTGTCATATTCTGCCACACCACTGAGCTCCTGATTATTTTGTTCTCATCCTATCTGCATGTAACATACTCTCAGTTCTACAGAAATTTAAGTTTATTTAAGGGTGGTCTGCTGCAGCCCCATTTTTCCCTGGCTGTGTGTTCTTATTCCGTCACTTCTGTCAGTGCTAAACCAAAACTGACTCCGTAGCAAGTCAGCTAATCCAAGGTTAAGCTCTCCACCAAATGGACTCGCCACACGGTCAGATGAAGGCCAGTACTTTCTGATGCAAAACAGGACGCAGGAACAGCAAATCATGAAGGAATGGCAGGACTGCAGCAGCCCCTGGTTCATACTGACATGGAAACATTCAGTCCACTTCTCGCTGCTAAAAATAACACGCTATCACTTCTCCTCCACATCAAAAAGTTTACCACATGTTATCTAGCAGTCACTCCCCAGAGGTTTGGCTGCTTCATTACCCTACCCACAGAGCTTTCCTTTTGATCCTTTGCATGACGTGTGCTGTAAGAGACTTGCATCTGAACTGACAGAACAGATGTAAAGCAGGAATCTCCTGAAAAGCTTTTAAGGACAGCAGTGTCCTTTTTCTGCTACTGTATCACTTATTCATTTCATAAGTTCAATCGAACAAGCAGCAAACAATGGATTGCACAGCATGACCAACATTTCAACAGGGAGACTATGGAAGGTGGCACTATATTCTCACTTGTGAAAGCAAAAATGTAAAAGCAGCAAACCATGCAAGAATGAATTAGAAAGAGCTATTCAGGGAAGTCAAACTTGCATGCAGAACTTATTGTGGCTTTTTAGATGGCTAAAACAAATGAAATCTTCTCTTAATAGCTTTCAGATTTCAAGCTTTTGCTAGTTGTAGCCACAGGGTAACAAATTATGCACAGGATTACTGTATCTATTTTTTTTTTCCTTCACTAAAGCTAAAGCATGATTAAAAATTCTTAAATTAAAATTCTTTCTACTGTATCAGGGTTTTGCTATGGAATTCATAGCATACAAAGTTCTCGGGGTAAAAGTGAAGATATCTTTCAGTTTACTGTAAGAAGCTGAAAATACACCACAATGGAAATTTACAACTATGCTTATACGGAAGGTCTTAGAAACTTACTTTAATTAATAAAGCAGCCCCACCTCATCAGATTTGCTGAAGGCAGTCTTTGGGAAAGAAGTGCTTTTAACTTATCCAATTGAAAAATAAAACATTCTGCCAATACTATTGCCCCCTCATTATATTCTCTCCTGTTATATAAAGAAAGTATGTTGCATATAGGAGTGACTAAAACCAGAAATACCATCGAAATAACACCTCTAGTAGCAGGGAGTAAACAGAAGGAGGACAGTTAGTGAGTACTTACGTACCAAGCATCACTACAAAGAAAGTTACAATTTGTAAAATTCATGCAGTATACAGCACATCAAACCGGATGAAACAGTAGTGTCATTTTCTGCTGCTGTTTTGATAAGGAGTCCTTCCACGTTAGCTGGACTACCGTGGTAAAGATTCACTTGAGCGAAAAAGTCATTCAGCGTAACCAGAAATTGCCTGCCCTGTGCTTTTCTAACATCACAATTTAAAGCAAAATATACCAAAGAACACATTATATCCCATTTATCAGAGGTATTTTTGTTTAACCATTGGGTCACACACATTTACCATAGCTGTGTGTGTTACATCTTCATATAAAGCTTTGCTGATATTTTTGTTGGCATACTATGTTTCAGGACACTGAACATGAAGACGAGTACCATGCTCCATGACGCTTATAGTGAGTAGTTTGTTATTTGCTTCTTTTATTCAATTATTTTTCTTCATTGCAAAAAGATGGCTAATATCTTCAAGGTGGAAATCAAATCCTACTTCCCCAGATTTCCCTCCACTATTTACTTTGTTCTTAATTCCTCTGCCTTCTACTATGCAGAATATAATCTTTGTAAGTAATGTATGCTATCTGTTTTAAATTTTTGACATTAAAAAATATTCTTAAGGTTTTTCGCAGTCTCATTTTTTGTCACAGCTGATACTGAAGGCAGCCATCATCAGCATAGGTTTTCCCCGTTCTCTCCACGATCTAGAATTCAGATGCAACTTGGTGAGGCTGTTTTTATTGAACTACAAATAAAGAGAAATATAAGACCTTACAGTGTTAAGTTTATTATCTTCCTCTGAAAACAGCCAATATTTCTTATTGTACTGCCCTGGTTAACGCATCTTCTAAGCATTTTGTTCTCTGTTCCTACTTCTACTTCCCTGGTAGTGCCTTGCACTTAACCTTACCAACCCCTTCAGGCCAAAGTATATTCACTCAATAGTAAAACCTTAACTCAAGAAGATTCCATCAATCACTTTCAGCAACTGCTTCAGCCTCTCTGGCAATTTTCAGGTGTTTCCAGAGTTTTCTCTTTCTGATTTTTACTACTCTACTATTTGTTAAGCATAGCTGTTTTCTCTCTGTTGTTTATGAAAATGTTGAGGTGAGAGCGTATGCTTTACTTCCTTTATTTCATCATTTCACTAGTTCAGACTTACTCAGCCTTCCAAACAGCTTGCTGGAAACAGACTACAGTCACAACAGCAACTATGATATGGTTAAAGGACAGTAACACCAGATAATCCAGCACTTTTCAAGTCAGTTTGGTATTTCTGCTTCAACATTTGAGGCTTTGTAGCTCTGCAAAGTTGGTTTTGTTTTGTTTTAATTTGACCCAAAGACTGGCAAAATTAGTTTCCAACTTCAGCTCCTCCATACGGCAAGAATTATACAAGCTTTCCTCTATTATTAAATGGCTTATGAGGTTTTGGTAATTTGGACTCTCTATGAATTTATGTTATAGATCATCTTGGTGTGGAAGCTGTGTTCTAGTAACATCTTCATTTTGCCTCTTTTCCTCACTTCATTTTTAAATTCCTGAACTACAACACTGAAACATCTATTAACAAACAGGATGAAATGCTTAGGAATTCCTCACTATCGATGACTGATAGCAATTGCTGTCCAACGCATAAACCTGCTACAAAATACATAAAAATGACCATTATAAAATTAGTTATTTGTGGACTTCCATCTACTTTAAGTCATAATTAATGTTATTCTATACTAAGGACTAATTATCTCATATAGCATGGTTTTATTTGTTTTTCAATTACCTTAAAAAAAAATCACTGCCATTGACATTCATCTACTCTAAGGATTTCGACATTATGAAATCAATATTACTACAGTATTTATTTTAGTTAAGCTCAACGATTTTTTTTTTGTTTCAATAATGATATTTTCCCTTATACTATAAAGCTAAATTTAAAGATACTCAAGATTGAAAAGTCTAAAATCACTATTACAGACAAGAACCAAATGTACAAACAAAATTAAACAATCTTCCATTGAAATGTTATTTCCTACCCATCACAATCTTAAAATTCCATTATCGTAGTGAAAAAGATAGACACAGTTTGACAGGGAGCATCACTGACTAATACTATGCTGCAGTTGTCTTCAGACAAGACGGAGGGAGCAACCAAGTAGAACTACAGATGTCCTGACGCAGGAAAAGCAATGCAAAGAATTTGAAAAACATTGATTCCAGACCAAATTAGAATAGTTAAGCGGAAGCCAGAAATAGGATCTTTTCCTCAGAAAGGAAGAATGTGGAGTTAAGGAAAAAGGAGTAAAAAGTATTTGCCTGAAATTTGAATTCTGTTGTATGTGCCTCATCCTGTATAAAGAACGTGTAAAGGTGAATTAGTAATTAAAGAGACCTGGACATCTGTATAATAAAAGGAGTGGACAGAAAACATGTTCAGCTAGAAGAGTTTATTCAACAATTCTTAGAACATGTGGAAGCCTTACGTATTTCTAGCAGAGGAATTCAACCCTACTGCCCAGGATCCCAAAGAATAATTCCAAACCCTTAAGGACACTCTAGCTCAGTATGCTATACTTGATTATTACGTACATCCCCTTACACAGGCTCTGCATTTTTTCTTACGTTCTGCAGTACACAATCCAGAGCAACTTTTTTCTTTCCTTTGCAAAGGAACTTCCCATCCTTACTGAACTCTTTCTTGAAAATAAGAAATAAACTCTCAAAGCTTTCACAATGAAGAGAGATCAATAACCTGTAGGAGTCACTTTAGAAGGAGGCACAAGGACAGTACAGCTCAATGTGATGCCAAAAGCCTGCAGACTGCTTTATTCTTCCTGTTTTTCTCCGGAGAAAAACATGAAAGCAGCAGTATCATATGATCTTGCAAACCCAGATAATGATCAGTATCTCACTGAACTATGGGAAGAGGAAAAGAGTTAGTCCTATAGAACTTGAAGTACAGACAAAAGAAAAAACAGTTTAATAACAAAGAAATGTAAATTAAATACAACATCATAATTTTTATTTATTTATTTACATATAAAAAAAGGTTTTGGCCTTTCTCCTGAAGGGAGAAAAAATGGCTCGTTCAGCCAGTCTGCCTCAAGTTGCCCTTTTTATTTCTAAAGATAAACTGCCTGACTATACCACCAATCCAAAAGCAAGTGGAAAGGGAAATTAATAATTCACATCCATAAGGAAAAAAATTACTAGTGATCCAGATTCATAAAGATGAGAAGAAACACACTACTACTGAAATAGTCTTTGTTCATTCAAGTACCTTCAAACAGAAATCCATTTTAGAAATGTGCCTATTCGTGCACTGTTGCTATAAAATGTAATTAGGCTTTTTAATATCTTGAGTATAAAAATAACTGATTATTCCAAGAAATTAGTAAGTCATTCCCATTTCTAACACTGTCTTGCTTTTCCAAAATTTATCTCAACAAATCAAAGCATTGCCACTATATGGCAAGAAAGACTGAATCTCCTCTCCTATATAATCTCAAATTTTATTCAAGTTGGATGGAGATAAAACTGAAATACAGTAAGATCTTTTTATCAATTTTAATCCTCTGACATTTATTCGGAAAACGGTAGTAGTTGCAGGTATTCTACCATGTGAAAGGGAATTTCCATTCATACATTTCAGAGTATCTTTGCAATCTTCCAACATCCACAGCTTCCCCCATCTTATTATAACTAGCTAGGATTTCTTTTTTTCCTCATGCTTACCCTGATTATTTAAAGGTTTATTGCTTCCTTCATAGAAGTTTACAATCCATATCTTTTAATCCTAAAGCAGAATTTTTGAACTCTCAAACTGGTTGAAATCATAATTTGATTAAACAGTCATTTTTGATACTAATCAAACAGATGCAATAGGTAGTGCAAAAACCAACTTCACCTATATACTAATTCATTAGTATGTACTACACGTGCCTGTTCCATTGAGGCATAATTTTCAGAAATAAGAGGCAACAGACCTTTAACTCTTGCATATGTAGTAAACACTGCCCAAATCTCTTACGCCTACACATAATATATAAAGATGTTAATGACATGAACTGACAAAGTGTTTTTCAACTGATGCTATATTTGGACAACAGTTAGCCCTATGGTGTTGTTTTTTCCTAAAGGGAAAAAAAATTTTCTGTAATCAGAATTACAGAGCTCCTCCAAATGATTAAGTTACTAAATGAGGCAGAATATTTTCAAGACAATGAGCTGGCTGACACTATCACAATGAAAAACTACTAACGTATTCATTTTCTTTCGGAGGCTCAACACACACCCATCCATCAGCTCCAGAAACCAAGCATAACACAAATATATACTGAGTATTGACGTTAGTACTTCACACATACTGGAGTTTTGTGACCTATCAGGTCATCTTGAACATGACCTTTCAGTTGTATTATTCAGCAATAAGACAGAGGTAGAAGAATCAACAGATATTTGACATTAATTTTTTAAAATATTTGCTGCACAGTAGTTAGAAAATGAACATAGAGGTTTCATGTTCTGCCGATATAAAAAGTCTTTTTCTTATTACCATTTCTAATCCTCACTATAAACTCAATCTTAATGCATTTAAGATCTCTTTAGCAAATGAACAACATCTGAATATCTGCTTTCTCTAGTTGTCTTCTGCTTTCAGAGATTGACAAAAAGCAATGTGAAGAGGTCTAAATTACATTTTTTTCATAACTTCTGCTTAATATTCTACCATATTTTGATAATTCAAAAATTAAGTCTCTCTCCTGATCTTTGGTAACTTTAAAAAGTGCATTCTGAATAAATGTGCTCAAGCAGCATGTGGCAACACAAGTTTCCTCACAGCTAGCATCTATTAGTATTCACTAAGCACCCAAAATCACTAGGTCATTTTAATACCACCTACTACTTTCTTTCACAGGACAATCTCAATTTTTCCTCATAATATGGAAAATTTTTCCACCACTGAAAAAGATAAATTTTATTTTTATCATTTTATAATGGCACAAAAGTGGTGGTAAAAATAAGCACAAGATGCAAGTTAATGGCATGGGATGCACTACACAGCCACGCTGACTCACCTTGCTTTGAGTGAGAATACAGAGCAGATCTAAGAGAAGGGCTCTCACAGGCTAATGCTGGTCCCTGCAAAAGGCTTTAAGTCATCTGGCTGGGCAGAAGGCAGTTTATATTATCAGGAAATGAGAAAGACAACCCATTTCCCAGTTTCATTTTTCCCCCGTATATTGACAGCAAAATTTTTTGATTCTGTGTTCCTGAAAGGTTTTCCTCTTTTTGCAAGATATTTAATGTGATGATCTAAGAAAACATGCCTTCTTTTCTTAAAGTATTAGAATCATCTCAAAGAGAAACACAAAAGCATGTTGTATTTCCCCAGCATTAAAGCGAATCATCCTTACGTGGAAAGAAGGTGGGAAAGCTAGTGTTTGCAACAGTTCAGCATTGCTTTTTAAAGGTGGTAAGAATTTCCTGCATCTATGTCTAGATGAGGCAAAAATAAAAAAATACCTCTTAAAAATACTCTTCTGTTCTGAGGAATAATTCGATCTGGAGTGAGATTCTGAAAATCACTGAAGTACTACAAAATAATATCTAAACTTCACTTTAGGATGCTGCTCTGCAGGCTTACTCTTACTGCTGCAGTATTAATAGGATTTCAGAAGTAACTTCTGGAAATGAAAATTGAAGACTTGCATACAAATACTTACTGCAGGGATGAGTAACTTTTTTACTTCTTCAACAGCCCTCTTCAGTTTTATTTCTGCTCTGTTCTGAGCATCCTCCACAGTGATAAGTACATGTAAATCTTCATTCAGGTGTTCCCAGTTGGGCTTGCCTCGGTTCTGTTCTTCCTAAAAAAAATTAAAACATGGAAGCTATGAAGCATTGTAACATTCTGCATAAAACCACATAAACAGTAGACAAGCTCGATTCTGTGAATAGTACAAACTGTATTTCCAGCAAGATGGGAAAACATTTCTTCGTACTGTGGAGATTGTTTTGGTTTATATGGTTACTTAACAACAACTACGGCTTCAGAATATCTTCTTGAGGATTCTGTTTGTGTTTTGGTACCTCATACATTATTTCTTTTTAGACTACAAAACAAATGTCACTTTTTAGAGAACCTTTCCAAAACGAACGAAGGAAGAAGAACAAAAAATACACATAAAAAAAGGTTCAAGAATCAAACATTACAAAAGGAATAGCAGTTGCAATTTTCAAAGCAGAGCAACACGTACTGGAGATGAAGGGCAGACAGGAGATGACAAGGTTTTAACACTGAAGTCACAAAAGAGCATGTAACAAGATGATCACCATTACACAGATACTCTACATCAATGGCATTAGTAATCTCAAAGATAAATCTTAGTAATGTTTTCAGAAAGAGGGCATGCTAAACAAAACTTTTTTTTACTGTAAACATTTTTAAATAACAGATATCGGTAAATTTAAGACATTCCAGTATTGAGTCTTTTAAAAAATAATGTAACAAACACAACACAGAAGAAACTTTCCAACTCTGTTTTTATTAAATAGTGAATAAAGCTAGCTAAATTTCCCAGAAATTTAATTTAAATTAGACAATATTTAAAATGTAATGAAAGGAGTTAAAAAAAAACAGAGGAAGTGGAAACCAAAACTTTAGTAAATAAGAATGGTTTATTATAACTTTTGAATCTAAATAAAGGCCTGCATAAACAAAGCCCACTTATTTAAAAGTTAAAATCCTAGGCATAACAAAAGAACCTCCTTTTTACAGAACAATCATTTGTGGCTTAACCACAATTGACATTTGAAAAAAATTATGGCAAGCAAAGTTAGTTGCAAATGTGTCTTTTTCCCCAAATTCCTTTAAAATTCTTCCAGGAAATCAGACATGCAGGGGAAATGCTTGAAGATTTAACACCAACAAATACTTGCAGTACTTTATATTCATATATACCTGAGAGAGCACTGTTCCTTAGAATGTTCTATCTTTAATTCAGCTGCTTTAAGTCTGAAAAGTTTTGTGAATAGACAAGGATAAAAACGATGAAAAAACACCAGAATCTTGAGAGATATACGGAAAATTTGTGTAAAAGAATCAGTACTTTGAAGGAAATTTCACTGTCCTTCATGTAACACATGCACATACGCACTACTCCATACTATCAGCTACAGTGATTTTTTTTTTAAATGTTATCTTAGCCAATTTTCTAAACAATGGTGGCAGTGAAAATATCTCTGAGTTTCAGAAGCTGAAAAAACAAAGAGAAAAAACCCTCATTTATAAAACAGAACTTGACGCAAAGTGCAGCTGAGTTATAACGTGTTCTCTGCTGTAATTTAATCTTTGAAAGAACTATCTACCACAAGGTATTTGCAGCTTATTTCACTCTATCATGATCAAAACTCCACTATTACTATTTAAACAATTCAATTTTTTTATTTTTTTTAATCCAAAGATGGAGTAAGCTGTTTTCTTTTAAGATGGTGACAAGCTATATTAATACGAGGTAGTACAAAGTATTATATTACAGGTATGATGAATGAGAGCAGGTTCCTAAACCAGCAGAGGGCAGAGCAAGAAACATGCCACTACCTCTTCTTGCACTGGCTGGAGGTGAGCTGACAACACTGCAATGGGAAGGGTCCAGGTTACTAACACGAGATGCATGATAACCTGCACAACTACAATACCATAAGGACAAAAAAAATTAATAAAAAAAGCAGCAGTGACAAATGACAAGGAAAGGAAAGGTGTCCCCAGGTAAAACGGTGAGTTCTGTTCCTAAAAGAGAAGGGAAGCCTAAATGCAGTTTTAGCTACCACGTTATTAAATGGCATACTTATACATAGATACATAGTGTGGGTAAATATAAAGGGGCATTACTGCACTGCATCGATTTCTTTCATAATGAAAATACTATGGTGCAAAGTCTCAAAATCTTGCAAGTTTTGGAGGAGTTACCACCTGTCAGCAATGAAAAATAAATGTACATAGTTATAGTGGATGTATGCCTCATTTGTAACTTTTAGAACGCAGAAAAATACTGCCTTTGTTATATAAAACAAGGTAGCCTGCCTCTGTTATTCAGTATTTAAATACTTCAGATTATGTTAATCTCAACTATTGGTGCTGTACTTGCAATTATTGCCCTGCTGCATTACTTTGTAACGAAACTACAAACTGTGGTTATCTTGAAGTGAATTGCAGCTAAGACAAACTAGATTACTTCACAGAACCAGAGTCTGGCTGAGGTTGGAAGCAACCCTGGACATCATCCAATCCCCCTGCTCAGGGCAGGGTCAACTCAAGCATGTTGCTGAGGGCCAAGTTTTAAGCATCTCCAAGGATGAAGAGACTTCACCACCTCTCCAGGCGACCTTTTCAGCATTTAACCAGTGCCTAATCACAATTAAAAAAAAAAAATTTTTCTTATTTTTAAATGTAATTTCTTTTATTTCAGTGTGCTCATGGTCTCTAGTCCTTCAGTAGCAACTGTTGAGCAATTCAGTCTGGTTGCCAGGTCTACCTAGAGAAAACGTGAATAACTAATTGCCATGAGAGTTATTTTGGGCAAAAACCATTTGCTGCCACAGCAGGAAGGGTATGTGAACAGAAGAAACAGCATCAAGAAAACCAGAAAACCTGATTAAGAGACTCAGGAAAAAGAAATTCAATTTCACATATTCAAAATTATCTTACATACACGAGAAGTAATTTACAGCATGAAGTTTTCTTGCATCCAAGAGATTGTTTATGGAAGAATTATACAGGAAAAATGGAGGCAGTGAAGATGCTGGAAACTACAGAGTGAAATGATTTATGCCACAAACTTGTGGAGCAACAATATTAGAAAAGCTTAATTACAACCAAACTATCTTGTCTGCTAAATTAAAGAACATTAAGAGCAACACAACTGGCAGATGAAATTTCTCTGTGCTCCTTTGTTTGGCAGAAGTTTCAGTATCCTTAAATATAGCCTAATTCTGTAAAGAGATTTTGCTTTCATTCTGTTGCCCGTGTGCATACACTCCTTATCCTCAGGGTACCCATACACAATAATGGACTTGAAGAAACTGCTCAATGTTTATCTTGCTATTGAGGTCAATGGATCATGTAGTTGTAAAAAAATAAATCTTGCTACAACTCCTTGAAATTTAGTTGTATAAAAAGAAAAAGTGACATACTTACAGATTATTATTTTTATTTTCTTGGGGAGGGATTTAGGAGGGATCCAAAAAGCAGGCAGAGGATGCAACTGACTTGCATCTATACAGTCAAGCTTTAATATTAGAAAAGTTGTTCTATGAGGAGAAATACTGAAGTCCAGCTCCCTGTCATATGTTTTCCATACACCTCACCCTACCACAGTAATTCCAAGACATTATCTTATATCTCCTGCATCCCAGTCCTTTAAGGCCATTTCTATTTACATCTTCATATCACATTCCAAAGCTTCCTTCTTAATACCTCAACTATTGACTTCACAAGGAGACAGCAGCTTACTAGCTTTCTGAAAGGGACACAAAGTATATGACTAAAAACTTATTACATCCCTTCCCTCGACTAGACATGTTAAGTCAGGCCTCTCCTCTATCTAGCCAACAATTTTCAAAAAACTTTAAACCCAAAGGAAAGAAGCGCCTGTCAAGCTTGACTGAAATTGTTTAAAAGATTAAAAAATATTGAACTTTCTTTCTCACCACAAAGGCCCGAAGACCTTCACAGTACAGCTGACTGACTAAAAATAAGTTGACGAATTAAAAACTGCTAAAGTAGAATCCAGTCATTTCCAGCTGTCAGAATGTCATTAAAGGAAAATGAAATAAATACTGAAAATACATACTCTCCTAGTATCTGTTTATATGCAGGCAGGGATATACTAGTTAGACAATAAAGAAAGAATGAATGCAATGTGGTAAGAGTGGAAGGAAGTTTTCCACACAGCATTTTTTTCAGAAAGCTATAGCCTGTAGTATTAAAAAAAGCGCAACCCCCATCCTGTGCACTTTTCCCACTCTAACTCATACAATTTTCAGTAATGTTGGCCACTAGAAAATACAAATACTGCTCAGTACCAAGAGCAGGGGCCTTTTAAAGAAATAAAGCCACTGGCTCAAGGAAATGTTGAGAATGAACCTTCATATCCTCATTCATCCTGAAGTGATAGGTTAATAAATTATGTTTTTACCAACCTATTGCAACAAGCTGTTCTCCCTCTGAATGACAAAAACCACAGAAAAACTATAGTAAAAGGGAAGAATGTTTTCATATAATGTCAAATTGAACGTCAAAATTAAAAGGCATCAGAATAGCTTTAGTTCTTTAAATCAAAGGTTTAATTCAAATACATTCCAAGAACTTTAATTAAAATTATCTTAAGACATAAGAAACAGTATAATCACTCATAGCCACTTCTCACAGTCAAATGGAGGAGGTAAGATGTGGAGAGGAAAAATTCAGGTATTTAGTAAAATACCACAATATATTTTGTTTAATAAATTGTGCTATAGGTGCATTACAATTGACAGTAGTTCTATGTGAATATTTCTTTTCCATCATGAAAACAGTCACACACATATAATCAAAGTTTTAAAAATAATGTGAAGAGCAGTTTTAGGAAGCTGTGTGAATTAAAAAAACCCCCACATGTTGATTTAAAGCAATTTTGAAAGAAAAGTTAAATTTAACTGAAAAATGACAAATTAGAACACTCATTGTGAGCAAATTCTAGTCCTGTTCTAGTTTAAGTATTTTTAAATAAGAGTTGATATGTATTGTAGCCATGCAACAATGTCAGGTCTGACGTAATGAGTCTGAGAGAAACATGACTCAACCATTCAACAGGGATTACACCTTACT